ACCGGAAGCTACATTTTTGTGCCCCTGTGTACCAAGCAGAAATTGATCTGCAATACATGTGGAGTCTCCAAGGGTATATTTAAATTTAGTAATTTTATTGCTAACTGTGAAGTTAATCTGCACTATATGGGTTCTTTTCCCCAGGAAACTGAAGCAGCAGTTCAAGCTAAACAACCGGATGTGGAAGGGATTTTGTCTAAAGGGCAGCATTTGTACAAGGAAACACCAGCCACTCAGCCAGTGAAGGTAATGAAGCAACCTCTAGCAATATCCATTACCTCATAATGGGTTATGCTTCCCCTGTTGTACATTTTCCATTGACGTGGTCTATTTATAATCAATGAAATAACTTGTAAGGAAATATCGCCCATACTGTAATAGCAGAGGCAAAGCTGTCTTTTTGATCAACATATCCTATTTATATATTGTGATCTTAAAGCTATTAACGAGTCATTGCATTAAAGGACTCATTTCTGTCCTGGTGTGCTGCCATCAATACCAAAAGTAGTCCCACCTTCAAGGTAGATTAAATTCTTTGGGGCTTTATTGCTTTGCTTTCCAGCCTTGATGCTTTTCATATTGTTTGGCTTAATTCAAATCAAGCTGCTGCATCATACTGTCTGTCTCTAACAGCTGTAAAGAATCACAATATAGTCCGTGACCTTTCTTTTCTCTGTTGCTCTTTCTTATGAAAGAGGAAAATCGGCATTCGGGCTTCAGTACTTTATTGGGTCAAGAATTTTTAGTGAAATGTCATGTAATTGCTTCTCTCTTTGGTGAAAAGGTGGCCTGGGAGAAATCTTTCTACTTCTTTTCCTTCTCCATATGCATTTTGAAGTCTAAAGCATATTTATTCACAGGCTATTACAAGAGGAGAGAGAAGGAAAGCCAGGTCAGTTTTCAAAAAATAGCTAATCAATGGATTCCATTTGCAAATGAGAGTCCAGTGATAAATAGAAGTTAGAAACATGATACCTTATTCTCTGTACCTGATCAAAATTATAAAGTCTCCTATTATGATGAAGGTTCCCGAGAGCCTGTAATGGTGGCTGTTTATTGATCAGTCTTGGTTTTCTCAGCTAATGTTACAGGCTGAGATATAGTGAGGCTTGCCCTCATGTTTAAAACTGCTCTAAAACAGTGCAGGTCAATGACCTCATTATACAAAACCAGTTTGTCCTTGCAAACAACATTACCATGACTTAGACTCTGTCTCTAAGGTCACCACTTAGTTTCCCTTGTGTTTGGCCCAAGCATCATTTCTAGAAGATTGTTTGTTTTTCTTACAGTTTACAAGGTACTTTTCCTTAGGTAAATTTAAAGTTTGGGCCTGTACATAATGTCCTAACACCAGATGCTTTAAAAGGCACAGGTTTCTCTGTAGATATCAACATACATTTATTCAGGAATATATTGCCCCCACTCCTAAAATCCAGAAAAATAATTTGCATCCAGTTCTAAGCCTGGCATGATCATTTTTCATAAACTAACAATATTTTCAGTATTTAAACTGGAGAGCTACACAAAGTGCTGAAAGTAGCAGATTTTAG